ACATTACAAGGACATACTTGCAAGAAAGAGGGCAAAAACTGGCAGCTTGTACATCTTGATTAGTTGCACTCACACCCACTTTCACCTTCTTGCTTCTGAGCACACCACAGCCCTGTCCTCTGCTGTTCAACAACGCTGGCTCTGAATTCAATATTCCAGTCAATTAAAAAAAACCATTTACCCACCTACAGCTTCAGCTGGAGATCTCAAGAGCACTTTGCTAAGATGAATACTGACCTGCTCAGTGTTACACAGGTTAAACACCGTTTTATAGGCACACAGCTCAGCCCTGTTTACATGAAAAAATTCAACTGACCTTTGTGGCTCTGTAAAGCTACGTTGCTAGTGGAGCCCTTGTGCAGACCATTTATTTAAGTGGGTCTTCTGTGCCCAGGTTGTATCAATCAGAGAAAGATATAGAAAAAGAATCTCCCCCCTCGAGCCTTAGATCTGCATAGGTATCACCTCTACAAGCACCCAGAATAAAGTGAATGAAAAAATTGGGAGCCCTTGGGGAAGGTGGAGCACAGAAAACCACACAAGCCATCAAGGCCAAGTGTTCCTGATAACGTTGACCCTTACAGACTTTGCATTTACCTAAATGCCCTCTTGACCTGCTGAACACTGCAATGACACAACTGTGGGACCTACAATGTCCCCTCAGTTAACCTCCAGGTAAAAAAAAAAAAAAAACAAAAAAAACCCCAAACAAACAAACAAAAAAACCCACATTTTTTCTTCTCCTGACCCTTCAGCACTTACCAACCTACCAAGCTCATTAGTTTCAGTCTCCTCAAATGGAGACTTACTTTCGAACAGGGTGCACCAAGGGTGCCTCTTCTACCCTAATTTGTACCAAAGTCTCATTTGCTCCACATCAACTCCTCATCTGCTCAACATCAGCTCCATACAGAAATTCTTCTCAAGCACATACAGTCATATGCAGATCTATTCCATAATAGGGCACTGATTGCTGAGAAACTGGGTGTTCTTTGGGAAAAACAGCACACCACAAGTTGAGATCTCACTTTATGCCCAGTGCAATCCTACCTGCCACACTGGTGCCAGCTCCCTGCCTGCTGTGCTCTCAAAGCCCTCAGTGCGTGTTTCAGTCACTCCTGGGCTGTGACATCCACCCTCCTGTGCCCTTGTGCCACTCCGTGCACTAAAGCAGAGCTGCCAGAGAAGCAGCTGGGGCTGCACGGCCACTGTTCCACTCTGTGCCTCGCTAATGGTGATTCCTTTAGCTACTGCTGGCCTCACCTTTGCTTTTGCCATCCCCGACTTTATCCGAGAATGGTTTGGGTTGGGAGGGACGTTAAAGCTCATCCCACCCCACCCTGCCATGGCAGGGACACCTCCCACTGTCCCAGGCTGCTCCAACCCCAATGTCCAGCCTGGCCTTGGGCACTGCCAGGGATCCAGGGGCAGCCACAGCTGCTCTGGGTACCTGTGCCAGGGCATCCCCACCCTCACAACCAAGAATTTTTCCCAATATCCCATCCAGCTCTGCCCACTGGCAGTGGGAAGCCATTCCCTGTGTCCTGTCCTTCCATCCTTTGTCCCAAGTCCCTCTCCAGCCCTCTCAAGAGTCCCTTTAGGCACAGGAAGGAGCTCTAAGCTCAGCCCAAAGCTTCTCCTGTGCAGGTGAACAATCCCAGCTGTGCCAGCCTTTCCTCCCAGCAGAGCTGCTCCATCCCTCTGCTCATCCTGGAGCCTCCTCTGGCCTGGCTCCAGCAGCTCCAGCTCCTCCCTGTGCTGGGGCAGCTCTGCAGGTGGGGTCTCACCTGAGTGGAGGGGGAGAATCCCTGCCCTCGACCTGTTGTCCACAGTGCTTTGGATAAGTCCAGAATACAGACATTGATCCCTGAATTTAAAGCCTTTCAGAAGAGGCTCCTGGGATCTAACTCATTAACAAGGAGCTGTCTTCTAAATGAGAGAAATTACAACAAAAAGGAATGTCAGACTGGGGGAGAGTTTTGCTTTGTAAACTGTGTTAGTTTAGATCTGTGTATTGAATAATTTCTATCACTTCACAAAGCACGGGGAGAAGAGATTACTCCTCTAATTCCACCAGAGATATTTATGAGCACATATCAAAGGACTAACAGATGTTTCCTGTAGTACATTTGGGATTAACAAGCAAAAATATGTAATGATATTGAGAGAAAAGGTAGCTGGCTCTTTAAATCCATCAGTCACAAGGAATTATGAATCATATTCAAGTATCAGATTTGCCAACAGAAGAGTCTGGACTAACCTTGTACACACCAGAAATCACAGTTACACCCATTTCACCCTGACTAGCAGATAAGGAGTCACAGTCACTCCAGGAGAACGATCCCACTTCCCGTTGCAGTGACAGCATTCCTCCTGCACCTCAATAAATCCATGTGCACCCAGCTCTGCTTCCTGACACACCAGGCCACTCTCAGTGCTTGTGTCTCCAGAGGAGCTCATCCAGTCAGGGTGCTAGCATACAATTTTGTGGTAGCTCTATTTTAAATCTCATTTGCTGGATTAAAATAGTATGGAGTTAAAAGTAGTAATTATCAAACATCTGCACTTTCTCTAAAGCTGCAGTGCTGTTTAACCAAGGCACGAGCTACAACTCACTGAATGGAGTGGAGCTATTCCAGATTAGCTGTGGAACAGTTGGGGTGAATTCCCAGAGCAGTTACAGATCCCATTCCTCACTTCCAACACTGAAGCTGTTCAGGATTTTGAGTGATGTCACTCAGAGCAGGAAGGCCCATCCTGGGAAACATCCCAGGCCAGGGGGGACAGGGCTCAGAGCAGGGGCAGGCTTTGGGCAGGAAGGTGGCCCTGCCATGGCAGCAGAGTGGAACAAGGTGAGATTTGAAGTCCCTTTCAACCCAAACCAGTCTGTGACTCATCATTATGCCGAGTGACTGTCCCAAGAAAGTGACACTCAGTCCTCTTTTATTCCTCATGTTTCCTTTAGTGCCCAGCAAAGCTGAGAGGCACCAGTAAAACAGAGCCCAGTAAATTCTGAAGAGAAGCACCACGGCCTCGTGGGCCCCAGTGCCCACCTGTGATGAGCAGGCTGGTCTGGCCACCGAGATCTTAACTAAAACTAATCCTCTGTGTAAGAAAGGTCATGTAGAAATCTAACAGGAACAGCAGATGTAAATTCAAGGCAGGCCTGAAGTGCCACTAAAGTGTATTTCCAGCTCATAAACATTTCTACTTCATGTGGATTCCTTTGCAAGATCAATTTCTCGATCTTACAGCTGCACAAGGAAGATATTCATGCTGCTAGAAAAACACAAATTACTTTTCTATTCCATCTCCCAGTTAACTTTATCAGACCAACAGAAGCCCTATAAAGGAGCCGCACATTAATGTCTGTCCTTACACATGTCAGCACAGAAATGCTGATGTTTCAAAGCCTGAAAATTCATTGTGAGGAAGGTATTTACATTTGTATTTTAAAGCATCGATTTAAGCACAGGATTTCTAATCTCTGCCCACTGCGCTCCCCCCGGCCACCTTGTATAAACTTTAAATCTCCGATGCAGAAGCCTATTATTAGAGCTGGCTGGAAAAAAAAAGCTAAAGACTGAAGGCACATTGTTTGTTATGGAAAAGGTTAGGGCAAAGCCTTTCTAAAAACAAAACTTACTAAACCTTTGTCACTTTCCGCTGAGAAAAGTCAAAACATTCCCGGGGATGTTTCAGAAACGGCTTCTTTGAAAATGACAGACAGTGACTCAACATCAAAGTATGTCCTTTTAAACAACAGGTTTCGATTCACGACGGTGAAATAAGTACAACAAAACACTTAATGTGGCCTTGGTGCTCCAACACAGAGCAAAGCGTAAAATGAGCTGGGTTTTCACCTTCATCAACACAATCCTGCCTACAAACCAACCCAGGAACGGAGAGAAACGAGCCCAGAGCCCGGTGTAGCCAGCAGGACTGGGGAGTGCAGCCTCTCCCACCTCCCCAGTTCCAGAGCAGGAAAAACACAGGAAACCAGTAACCAGAGCACCCAGAAACACCTTCTGCACAACTCCCATCCAAAAAAAAAAAAAAAAAAAAACAATAGACGGAGCCAAACAGAGGGGGAAGGGCAGCAAAGAGCTCCCAGACGAGTTCAATACAGAGAGCCCAGACACGCCCGGAGTCACAATTCCGAGCTGGGCCATGGGACGATCGATGGCCCTGGCCAGGAGACAGGGCAGGGCTGGCGAGCCAAGGGCACACAGGCGAGGAACCGTGCCTTGATCGCACCTGATTCTTCACTAAACAGAACCGGAACACGCACTTTCCTGCAAACTTTCGGCCTGGAAGAGTTTAAGCGTTTTGAAGTGGAACGAGCAATGAGTAACAAGGGGTGAGCCCCGCTGTACAGAGACCACCGGCAGCGGGCACGGGGCTCGCAGCGGATGCGCCCTCCTTGTTTTTTCCTTCGGGAAAAGTAGCAGGAAACTTTGTGCCAGCCGAGCGGAGACTCTGGGCTCCCAGCACAGGAGGGGATTAGCGCTGGGTGTCACAAAACGTGGCGGAGCCAGGCGGGGCCGCGGGGTGTTCCCGGCTGTTCGCCCGCGGGATCAGCAGCGCGGCCGGGGCTGCACGAGGAGGGCTCGCAGCTCAGCCTGGGGGTCCCAAAGGCACCGAGGGATCCCGGGGGGGACTCCCGGCCGAACCCAGCCCAGCCCCGATCGCGGCCGGGAGCGGCGCTGGGGCGGCCCCGGCCGTGCGGGGAGGAGCCCGGACACCGAAACTTCTCCGGGAGCGGCCGGGCCGCGCTGCTCCGCCGGCAAAACGCGCTCGGCCACCCCGAACACCGCGGGGCCATCCCCCCACGGGACACACAGCGGGGACACTGCCCGGGACACACCGCGGAACCGCCGCTCCCACGCGGGCCCCGCCGCGGCGCTGCCTCCCCAGCCATGCCCAACCCAACCCAGCCCGGCTCCTTCCCCTTCCCACGCGCGGCCCGCTCCGCTCCCATCCCATCCTCCGCCCCCCACCTCAGCAAAGCCCGGCTCGGCTCCCAAAAGTTTCCAAGTGCGAGAGGCACAACTTTACCGGGGCTGGGCCGGGCTGGCTCGCTCGGCGCTGCCTGCGCTGGCCCCGCCGCTTTGTCCCGTCCCGCGGAGGAAATGGGCTCTTCCGGCGCCTCCCTCCCCGCCCGGCCCGGCCGCTCTTCCCGGCGCCGCCCGCCGCACCGCGCCGCCCCCGCGCCCGGCCGGCACCGCCCGCCCGCAGGTGAGGGACGGGAATGGGAACGGGATAGGATCGGGACAGGACAGGACAGGACAGGGCCCCCAGCCCCGGACAGAGAGGGGACAGGACAGGGCCCCCAGCCCCGGACAGAGAGGGGACAGGACAGGACAGGGCCCCTAGCCCCGGACAGAGAGGGGACAGGACAGGACCGGGCCCCCAACCCCTGGCAGAGAGGGGACGGGGACGGGATAGGGCAGGACAGGACAGGACAGGACAGGACAGGACCCCCAGCCCCGGACAGAGAGGGGACAGGACAGGACCCCCAGCCCCGGACAGAGAGGGGACAGGGCAGGACAGGACCCCTCACCCCAGGCAGGGACGGGACAGGACAGGACAGGACCGGACCGGACCCCCAGTCCTGGACAGAGAGGGGACAGGGCAGGACCCCCAACCCTGGGCAGGGACAGGACAGGATCCCTAACCCCGGGCAGGACAAGGCAGAAACCCCTCATTCTGGACAGAGAGGGGACAGGACAGGGTGGGGACGGGAGCACGGGAGAGGACAGGACCGGACCTCCTCATCCCAGACAGGACCCCCTCACCGCATGTAGGGAGGGGATGGGGGAACGGGACAGGGCAGGGCAGGATCCCCTCATCCTGGGCAAGGAAGGGACGGGGAACAGGATAGGACAGGACCCCCCTGACCCCGGGCAGGCAGGACCCCCTCGCCCCAGGCAAGGACGGGACAAGGGACAGGATGGGGCAGGACCGGACCGGACCAGATCCCCTGAGCCCAGACAGGGAGGGGACAAGGGACAGGACAGGGCTGGACCCCCTGACCCCGGCTAGGGAGGGAATGGGGGGACAGGACAGGGTGGGGATGCAGGACCCCCTAACCCCGGGCAGGGACCGGCTGGACCCTTTCACCCCAGGCAGGACCCCTGTCACCCTGGGCAGGACAGGACCAGACCCCTCTCACCCCGGGCAGGGCACCCTAAAACCCCCCCATGTCCCCACAGCAGAGCCTGGCACAGCTCCCTGTCCCCTTCTCTCCCTGTCCCCTTCTCTCCCTGTCCCCTTCTCTCCCTGTCCCCTTCTCTCCCTGTCCCCTTCTCTCCCTGTCCCCTTCTCTCTGTCCCCGCCTCCCTTCTCAGCTGCCCCCAGCCCAGGCTCTCACGATGCCGCTTTTGAGCTCGAATCAACAAATTCAAAGTCAAAATCTGGCCTTGTCCTCCTAAGCACGACATACCGAGGGTCTTAGGAGAGGTGATGGATGCAGGGGTTTGAAGGAAAAGTTATAGCTGGGCTCCCCCCGGGTTTGTAAATTGGTGTTTTGTTTTGAAAACCCAGATATTTTCACCCTCCTGAGAGCTGCTGCTTTTAGGAAAAGCTTTGTTTTCATCCAAATGTCTCTCTTTTCATCCAAATGTCAGGTGAGAGGAAATCCCGGGGTACAAGCAGGAGCCCCTCCAAGAAGAGAGGAAGGTTTTGGGAACCCAGCCCCGACCTGCAGAGACAGGTGTGCAGGTGGAGAAACTTCTCTTTGTGCAGTAATTTATTTCAAAGTTTTCTTTTGAAAGTCTCAGTGAGCTTGTTGTGAGAGAGAGTGATTGTTTGTACCCTGCAACAAATTACTCTGGGACTTTCTGTAGTGTGTTTTGAGATGGTTTTTAATACAAATCTCTCCACAGAACTTACATTTGTACTGGATTGTAAAGACAACTGAATAAATTTAATACATTTCATGACTCATTTGCCAGCGCTGCTGAGATGTGTGAATCTATGTACTCCATCTTTTGTTATTAAGCAAAAAATGGAGATCTTTGAATAAGCTACAAGGCAGATTCATTCGAGGTGTGTAACTGAGTGAGGGGGCTGGCCTGAGGTCAGTGTCACAGCACAGGTGACCACACCATGGTCACGATCCTGGTTCAATGGGATTTGCAGGGCTGTGTTCCCCATCCTTGCCATATTCCCACAAGCTTTTCCTGCAGGAACACCGTGTCCTGCAGCAAATTAGATTACATTTTTCCTTCCTGCAGGTTTAATCCAAGAAAGGCATCCAAGACAAGGAAGTAAGTGTTGTTTTATAATCCAGAAATAAGATAGGGATTAAGAGCCAAGCCTTGTCAATGAGTGAAATGAGTTTAAAGAAGGTGAGATCTGTAATTATGAAACTGAGATACAGGTTATTAAAAAAATATAGGTCTTCAGTGCCTCAACAAGCAGACTCTCCTATGGCAACACAGGAAAAACAGATTTTTAACTTCATTGTATTTCCTGCTTATACCAAACCATTAATATTTGGTGCCAGTTGCACCAGGGATCCAAACTACTCATTTCTGTCTGTAGCATACTCTCAGTAAAAATGGAGTTTACACTTCAATAGCTTGCTTTCTTTCATTACTCCTTTTAATATCATGTCTTGGCCTCCTGTGGTGGCTTCCAGTTCTGTGTGCCTCACATCCTTTCAGGACAAAATGTCAGGTTTAAAAAAAAAAAAAAAAAAAATTCCTTTTTAAACCTACAGATTCAAAAAGTAGAAGGCCTGGAGTTGTAGAGAATCACATGTTCTACACTGCACCACTGAAAAGTCAAGGGAGAAGTAGGAGATCAGCTGGCAGCTCTGTGGCTTCGTGGAGCGAGTTAAAAGGCTCAGCAAACAAAACATAAAATCGTGTAAAAATAGAGCCAGCTAGCTTGAGATTGGACTTTGTCTCTTAATTAACAGCTCTCTCTGAATCACAGCACTGGGCTCTGTCAACAAGATTAAAATGCAGGGGGTGTTCAGACAGGCACCCAGCAACAGCAGCTCCCACCTCCCTTCCAGTCCATGCCATTGGCAGCTTGAAATCGAATGCATTTTCTGAAATGAGTTACAAGTCTGCTGCTTGACCTCAAATCTTCCTGTAACAGCGTCTGTGGTTTTGTAATCCCATTCTCCTGGTGGTTTTTTTTACATGTTTTCCTTGCCCTTTTTCACTGGGTGAAAACGGAGAGGAGGACAGGGAGAGGGAGGCGAGGTGGCTGCACTGACACTGTGGGGAGGTTTGTGTAAAATCAACAAAAAAACCCCAAAAGCTCCGGCTCTCAGCCGGCCAGGACGATCCAAGGTGCCCCAGAGCAGAGCAGGGCTGGTGGCTGTGCCCTCCTGGCAGCCTGGCCCTGTTCCTCAGGTGTGTCCCCAAGGGCAAACCCTGGCCAGGGCCACCTGCAGGCACCGTGAGGGTGTAGCCACCGCAGGGAGCTGCATTTTCCTGTAAATCCTGGGCTGGGGCTGGGTAGGAAAGGGCTGGTTTAAATAAAATATATCACCTGCTGGAGCTCCACCGTCTGCCAGTGCCAGTGTACACAGGATCTAAATGGTGTGCATCACCTGGAACTGGATTTTCTATTTCTACTTCTACTTCTATTTCTATTTCTATTTCTATTTCTATTTCTATTTCTATTTCTATTTCTATTTCTATTTCTTTCTATTTCTTGTTGAAGGGAAGTAGTTGCTCCATGCATCCATTTCAAAATTCTTGTTTGGTCTCTGTGGTTTTGTTTTTGTTTGGGGGGGTTTTTTAAGCGGTTTCATTTTGTTACTTGTGAGAAGTAAGCATTGCACCTCTCGTGTCGTTTTCAAAGACAGGACTGCTGGGACAGAACACGGCGAGGGGATTGAGAGGGATGAGAGAAGGAGGGAAATAAAAAAGAATACAGAGAAGATACAGAGTGTTGTAATGGCAAGCTGAAGGTCCTGCCGGAGGGGCTGAATGGGCAGCAGGAACCGAGAGAGAGGAAAAACTCCTCTAAAGGAATCTCCGTGTTCAAAGAGCAGCCGGTTGAGGCTCTCTGCAGGCTGATGTCACTCTGGGCGATGGGGACAGCCCCAGGGCAGCCGTGCTGTGCCACCAGCTGTGTGAGTGCGAGCAGCAGCCCCGGGCACAGCCCTGTCACCTCCTGTCCCTGCGGGCACTGCCCTGTCACCTCCTGTCCCCGGGCTGCCAGCGAGGGGCCAGCAGCGGGGCAGGGACCCACAGCCAGTCGGAGTCACCCCAAAATGCTGCCTCCCTCGGGGGCTGGGGCTCTGATGAAGTCAGCAAGGCAGCAAAGTGACAAAATGAGGGTCTGGCACCAATAATTCATGTGTGCTATGGCAGCAGCTCCTGGGGGTTCTCCAGTGCTCATCTCAGCGTTCCACGCAGCTGGGAGGCATCACCATTGCTTTTCAGGGCTCGGATACAGAAAGAATTGAGATTGTCTCTCAGTATCCTGCTGGGAACCAGCATGTGCACAGCCAGAAATCAAATTCCAGGGTGCTGGGGCGATTCCTGGCTCGGGAATCTGGAAATGCAGGTAGGTGGTGGTGCAGGGGATACTGCAGGTACAGCCTCAGCTGTGACTACAACACCCAGCGTGGTGAGATGAGCCTCGGGCAGGAGGAGAAGGGATTTACCAGCACACCTGGGGCTCCCTGGCACGGCTGGCAGCGCAGGGCTCAGACCCAGTTGGTGCTGGAATACCTCTGGGGTCAGCACTGGGACCTGCTCCCCATCACTGCCACCTTCTCCATAGAAAACTCTGCCAGAAACATGGCCCGGTTCAGAACCGAGAATCCACTGGATCCTGAGTGAAACCTTCTCTTGCTGCACTATCAAACGCCCCTGAGCCCTCCGGAAAGAGAAGCAGCGTGGCCAGGGGCAGGGGGCTGAGGCACGGAGCACTACAGCACACGCCTGTGCTGCCTGGAAAAAAACAGGCAGAAACTGTAACGAGGGGAAATTGTGCCATCCCAAAAGGCTCAGCATCAGCTGGGTTCGCTGGTTGTTTTTCCTACCCGAGCAGTTTGCATTCACCTCCAGGTTGGGGCAGCTTTTGTGTAATAAACTGACATA